TACGTCCAATTGTCGGTAAGTTATCGACACTTACTGATACTTATCGACACGAATTGCGTGAAAATCTGTTTTTTTCACAGAATTTTACGGGGAAAATGGGACTAATATAGACTAATTAGTCGCTTTACTATCAATTTAAACTTATTTTTTCCTTTAGAACTTTGATAAAAATACAAAATATGTATCGATAAGTGTCGATGAGTGTCGATAACTTCAACGAGAAAAGAAATAAGTGGAATAACGCACTAATCTTACTGCAAATTATACAATTATAGAGTCAATTATGTAAGATCCAAGCCAAGAAGTCTATTAATTACTCTAAATCCACTTCATCTCGTAATTCTGGGTAGTTTCATAACTTCGAATCACAACTCCTCAAAAGGACACTTCAAATGGAGTCTGGGAAATGTGAGCCATAGTATTTTGGCTTCGCTTTGTGCTCGTCTCATAAGTGTCTCCTTGAAACTCCAATACCAACAATATTTCCATGTTGATAAACAGCGACAATGGATTAACTTTGAGATCCTCAGCGCCGATCTGTGGGGCGAAACTTCTGAACAGCACCGCAACAAAAGTAATCCAACCCTCCCCCCGGAGCAATCTCGAGACATGGATGTGGAAGGGAAGAAAGAAAAAAAAATGGATGAATCTAGATATTTCCCACGCCGCACAACTCTGCGGAAAATCTCTCTCTGGGTTGGAATGTGTGGCTGCTCGTCAGCTCCAAAACTGCTATTGTTGGAACGTGTGTTATAATATTCTTCCTCGAGGCATTTCTGTTTTCATATTCACCGCCACCAACAGTTAACGCCCACCTTACATCCAGCTCGAGACATCATCCCCAAGACGCATTGCATGAAGAGGACATCTCATTTTTATTCCACTTCATACACATGGCATGTATATAAATTTTCTTGCCGAAAATACATGAAGAGATAAATATAAACATGGGTATTTTTTCCCTTCTGTCTCTCTCTCTCTTCTCCACATGTTTTCGGGGTCTGGGGATGATTCCCGCATGAGGTGGAATAGTGATTCGCCACCCGAAGCCTTTTTTGTAATTCAAAATAGTCACAGCGACTGTGGGAAAACCACACAGCGATGCTGGGGATGATGGGAGCGCCCCAGAAATACTTTTCCCATTGAGACATTACAAATCTTTTGAACCCTTTCGCCATGACCAGAGCCATCCACCCTTTGGTGCTCCTACCGTGATGCCTTCTTATGCTATTGGTTTGTTGTGTGCACGATGATATAGAGCGGGCGCTGGCGAGGGTGCGGGTTACACGTTTCCAGAATTCCTAACTACCCCCAAAGCCGCTGGTGCAGCCAGGGGAGTGGGTGGGACAGGAGATATGTATATGATTTTCTCTATTACACATGCAACCTTCCCACAGCATCGACTCCACTCCCGGAATGTGAGACACTGGGAAAGCGTCCTCAAGAAGAAAAAGACATGTACAAACATATTCCCATGCCCCTTCCCACCGACACCCCCACGACGCTCCCAAGGAGCGGGACAAGAGAAGGAGAGCTTGAGGAGATAAATAAATAAAGAAATATGTACATTGTGCCTTCTGTAGAGATGGAGTGGCGAGGATATCATAGGGAAAATTCAAATCCAGCTGAATATTTGAGGAATGTGTTTTTTAAAGTTATGCTCGTCTTTAGTTTCCTTGCCTTCATTGTCTCTCTGTGTATCCACCAAATTTACTCACAGCGTGAGATTCAGGCACGATTCAGGGTGAAGCCAGGGTGATATTGTGGTTGAAAGTGGTGTACAGCTCCTTTTTCACACATTTCACGCAAAACTTTGAGCTCTTTGATGTTTTTCTTCTTCTAAAAGCTGGAAATATTTTCCTTTTATCTTGACAGATAAAATATCTTTGTGGTAAAAGTGGGTGTACAGATCTTAAGGCATATTGTCAGTCCCTTGAGCTGAAGCTCTCTAATAAAATTTTCAGAATTATTCCACCTTTTCCACGGCATCCGCAGAAAAGTAGAAAAATATCTTTACATACGAAAATGAAGCCGTGAGATTTCAGTCTAGCAACTCACAAAGTGGCGCAGAAGCTCATGCAGAATGTGTGGAATGTATCATAAGACGGGAAAAATTGAAAATAAATCCATTGATTGTCTTTGCCGCCCCTTCAAACCTGGAGAGGCAATTGTCATGAAATCCAAGTGCTCTCTCGCAACCTTCCCTGGAGAGGACAATCGAAGATCTCTGGGCTGGGTTGAGAGCGGGCGGAGGACTTTTGGAATGAAGTTCCCATGTTTAGCCTCTTGTTTTGGTTTCACTCGATTGCATCTGTTTATAGTGTTATTGTTCTGTCTTGTCTCTCCCTAAGTCCTGCTCGAAATTGATTCTCAGCTTGCCGGAAAGGCCAAAGTAAAGACTCTTCCCACATATCAACAATTGAACTTCTCTCTCCCAAATTGATTTTCCTCCTATTTCGTCTTCCCGACGCTCAGATGTCCTCGTCCAAGGATTCTCCATCCCATGATGATTATATTTTTTCTGGGCTCTGCACTTGAGCAGAGATACATATATATTTGTATATTGAGTCGGTAAGCCAGCAATCGAGATGATTTTCGCAGGAGAAAATCTTATTAAAGTTATTTGCTGGGGCGAATGGTAGTAATATTTCTCTTATTTCTCTCTCTCTGCGTCTCATTTTTTTCCTTTTTGGATGATTTGTTAAAAGCCGTGACTTGAGAAATTTCACTTGAAATTCCCCAAGCCAAAGTTACCTTCAGAAGTGTGCTTATTGTATTAAATTCCATGGAAACATTTTGTATATTTTCGTCTAATAGAGTGCTGGGAAAAGCATGCGTTCTTTATGTGTGCGCACCTTTGAAGAAAACGGAAATAATTGCACAGTTTGAGCACTATTAAGAAATCACTTTCTGCTGAAGTACAGCTTAACAACTGTTTTGTCATTTTCCCCTTTGCGTGCTGCCAAAAGGGCTTGACAAGGGGGAGATAATACGAACGGAAATTTAGAAATTTATTCTTAAGTGAGGAAGATTTCTTGTTATTTGCACAATCAAGAATTTGTATGCATTAAAATGTTTCCTTTTCAGTAAGTTAAGGATTAGGTTTGGAAAAATGGCAAAAATAATAGTTTTGAGTGGATTTTTCTAGGAATTTCAGATGAAAACTTGAGAGATTGATTGTAAGTTTTACTTATTAAACATGAACTTTAACGTGTCAGGAAGTTGTGTACAGACTCCGGATATAACATCTCCCCCTTGACTTATAAGTGCTCTCAGCGCGAGAGCGACGAAGTGAAGACATCTGGATATCAATTACCAGTTAGTCGCAGATTCTCACTCGCCCAAAGTCGTGCTGCACAAGTGAAATTCCAGAATATCGCGCCCTTCCTTCGCGGCGAGCGATCGCGTGTGGCTGAAGGGGCGGAAATTGCTGAAACAGAGACGTCGGACGAAGTTGCGAACCCCCAACTGTGCACCCCTGCAACTTCGCTCAATGGAACGCCATCGGGGGCCACATTCCGGATGATAAACTGCACTGCGACTTTCTCTTCGCCCGGCATTAATACTCTTCCACTCTCCTCCCCATCCCTCGCGCCACCCTTCTATTGTCCTCCCCGGCGCACGGTATAGATGAAAATTTGAATTATGCGTTATTCAATTCAGACGCCCAACGCTGGGGTGACTCAATGGAGGGCGGCGGCGGCAGAGCTTTCCGGGAGGGTTGGGAAGACACAGTCCCCAAGAGGTATAATTTTATAATAAAACAAATTGAGTGTGACCAGAAGCATCATTGAATTTTATGATATTGTGACACATTTTCATAAATATCTCACACTCTCGATACCCTTGATATCGCTGCTCGCCCTTTTGTTTCACGCGCCGCAACCTCAGGTTCAAAATAATGTGTGTGCGATATGATAATATATATGTGAATGACGGTGGAAACTGTGCCTCGAAAATGGGTTGTTCTGTGTGTGTTTTTCCGAATAGTTGGAATAAGCGCAAAAACAGCTGTTGATTTAGAGTTTAGAGACAGAGTGAGAAAAAACAATTCCTGCGCTGTCATGATTTATTTCAAAACTCACGCTTTTTCCCGTGTATAATTTATGGTACTTGTCAAGGGGGAGATAATGTGTCTTTAATTTGTACACCACTTCGAAACTTTAACCCTTCAGAGACACTTCTGAACACCTTTAAAGTCATTTCTCGTCGCTTTTTAAACTCTTTCAACTGTTTCTTGTCATTTCTCCGATTCAAAAGGTTTAAACTCTTCCAGATTCGGTTTAAAAGATCATTTTTGGACCTATTTTAATCCCTCCAAACCTTGAAATGAGTCAATATAGTGAATATCTCAATGTTTCTACTAAATAATCACGGAATTAACTGAGCAAAGAGATATTCTTCTAGATTGAAATGAAAATTTGAGGTTATGATTGACTTCTAAGCTATTTTTACCACAGAAATTTTTCAATTTGAAGTTTTACGAACACAAATGCTCAATTCTGCCGAGAAAAAGCGAAATAATCTTAGCTTAAACATAAATTTGATGAATTTTGGGGTTATTTAACTACCAGAAGCTGTTTTAAATTAATCACATAACCTAAAAATAGTTATAAAATTGATATTTCTGAGTCAAATAATTTGGAAAAAGCCTAATTTTGTTACAAAAGAAGCTTTTGCAATGAAAGTATTCTAAAGATTTTCCCACAATATCTACCCCTTAATATTTATACTAAAAAAAATTTCTTCTCCACCTCAGCCATGTTCGCTGACTAAGTGAATCTGACGTTGAACGGTGTGAGAGAGAGAGAAAGGGAGCGAGACGAAGTTAATGGGAGAGAAAATGGGAAACAAATTGTAGCATTTGATTTACTGACAAATGATTGATAATTCCAATATTTTCCCCAATTGACTTCAACCCTCGTTTTGTCTGTGACGCCAAAAGTGTGATTGCAAGACGGTGAGATTTTTTAAAATGATTTATTTAAAGGTTCAATGGGTTTAACATAAAAATATCAATTCTATTAGTTGTTGTCTTCCTTTTCATGGGAGATAATTCTTCATAGATTTTTTTCCATTCCTTTTTTTAAGATTATACATTAGTACATTCATTGTTAATTTAACTAGTCATGTGTCTTCACTTCTTTTTTTACCCCTTAATATACTTATATTTTACTCTCTTTTGGTGTGTGTGTGTTTTGTGTGAGTTAAATTTTCCATGTTTTCTCTGAATAATTTATTGACTGAATATCCACCTCGTCATCTTTCACGCCACGAGGGATGGTTTTACTTGCAAAAACACCCCCTCAAACTGAGTGGGATTCTTTTGATTTGGGTCTGCCTAACGTCCGGATCCTTCAGTCCCCCGTTTATACAACTATGTAAATGTTTTATCATGTAATTAGTGCAAAATTTGTGTATGTTTTTGACTTTCTGTTTTATTAATAAATTCATTTTTGTTGTTAATAAATATTTAATGTCAATATAATTGTGTATGCACTATCAATATTAAATTACATTTGAAATTCAATTTTGATTTTTCACTTTTTGCTATATGTACAACGAGTATGAGGATTATTTTGTGTGTTGCTCAAATTTTCCGGGGGATTTATAATGAGTCAATTTTCATCAATATTCATCAGTATGTGTTTTATACATTGAATTCTAAATATTCTCTCTGTCCATCTGCCATTAGTCTATGTCATCCTTTTACACACTTTGATTTAACCTCACAAGAACCTTAATTCCGTGCGCACTTTTCTTTTTTTCCTCGTATATTTACAGCTTTTGTCACAATTTTCCACCCTCGCTTTCTCCTCCACAACGGATTAACCATTACAGGATAGATTTATTACGTTTTCTTTGACTTCTTGCGTCATTCCTTCATATTTTTTTATACTCTTTAATTACCTTCAAAGTCCTTTATACACGAAAATAGAGTGAGTTGTGTTTTGCAAACATTTAGTTACTTATTACAATAAATGCATAATTCAAAAATTGTTTTCTTTTTTCTTCACTAAATTCAACATTTCGGCCGGATAAAGAACAATTCATATGGAGTGTTTTTTTCTTTCCCATAATATATATGACTATAAATTTTTCATCATTTCTAATTTATATGACTTCCACTCTTTTCAAATCTATTTAGGAAATGAGAATTTTCTTGTTTTTTAATAAGGATTTTACGATGATATGCGTTATGTTATACATTAAATATTACAATTCTGGGGTATTTTGTAATATATATATATATATATCCCACATAGATTTTGTCTTGTGTTTTTTTTCTTTCTTTCTTTTCCATCTATAATTTTCCGGGCGCTCATCCTCCGCGGTTCCTCTTCTGGGAAAATTCAATTATACATCACTCATTTTCAGTTGGAGACATGTGATTGCGGTTTCTGGGGCGCTCGTGATGCTCTTCGTGCGAGAACTTTTGAGATGTTGCGAAGAAAAGCTTTTAAAATATTGTACTGAAGGTACTGAATACAAAATTGCCTCCTTGAGAAGGTTCTGCTTTGCATTTTGCATTAGCTTTTGCTCTTCGCCTCCGATCGATAAATACACAGCTTCCAGAAATATTGTAATACCTTTAAAGGTGTGTTTCTCAGTCCTCATATTGTGGGGTTTAGGGGGTGTTTTCGTGAATGTGTCTTAAAGAAAATCCAACCGTCAATTTTTGTCTCTCCCCCGACGAAATGCGCCCCAGAAAGCGGATCACTTTTTGAGCATACATGAAAATAATAAGGCCACTTATATTAAGAACTAAGGAAGAGATTTACAAAATTTAATACACAGTACGCTGTATTTTATAATATAAATCTGTCTGTGTAAGTATTAAATCAGCTAACCAACGCTTTCTCATTAAATCTTTATTACAAATACATGACCTCCGCCTCCGTCGCGCGCTCCTGACTTTGTCGACTTACCAGTCGCTTTTGGGGGGCGCTCGCCGCCCCGCCCGCCGCGGCAGCGTGGGTGTTTGGCCTTTTTAATATTTAATACACTATCTCGCTGCCAACACGAGCCCCACGAGCGCCGCCAGGGTGACATGGAGGAGTTGCGCCGTAAATTTGCGGTGACCCGAATTAGTCCAATAGTTAATTAACTTTTGATTGGTTAAGTCATCCTGTGACGTTATGTACACAATGGCGCTCGACTCTCGCGTGGCCGCCGGGATCTGCTCAACTCTGGCGAGACACTTGAGTCGCATGGCGCCCCGGAAAATTGCGTGCCGTGTCTTATCTACATGAAACCGTACCTCCAAGCTCCGGAAGCGTAATTGAAAACCGTCTGACTCGATGGTTGTCTCACGGAGTGGCTGGAGATACTCTGGCGGTGCCTGCGGGAGAAATTATACGGATCTCAGGGGGTGGTGGCTTGCTAAATTCGCCCTTGAGAGCGCCTGTCAGGGGGGTGGGGTCGGCCGGGGGTGGCGAGTTTTTAATCAAAATGCAATATTTGACACAAGTGTGACAGGGACGAGTGGGGAATGAGGAGAAAAATGGTGATTACTTTCTCATCGTTGATGTACCACGACAGCATGGCCGGTGGACTTGACATATCGGATGTGCAATTGCCCAGCAAAAAGTCACCGTCTTCGTAGCTGTGGCTGATGCCGGTGATGATTGGATCGTGTCGGGGCAGAGCTGCAATCAAATATCGCCAGAGAATTCAATTAAACTTGCCAAAACTCACTTCAGCTTCTGCTCTCTCATTTTTTGCTCGCATGCATTTCATGCTATTCACTTTTGCCATAATTAAAATTGATGCTGAACTGTGTGCGGATTATATCGCGACGACCACTTCTCCAAAAGGCGCACTCTCAATTTGCCATGCACAGAGATAACTTCGAGCACACGCTATGCAAACCCATTCATCGAGTCCCCAGAACTAATCCAACAACTTCTTGATACACTTGGCAGATACCAATAAAACTTTCAAGAACCCAACTCCATGTACTCGAAAGCTCGCACTCGTGATAATTCGCCAGAGGGGAACTTGTGAGTAATCGAGACGAAATTTGCATAAATTTTGCAACAAAAGACGATTCAAATGCATAAAAACAACACACACACGAGAGAAACGATTAAAAAAGCTGCCATGTTAAAGTCTGCAATTGCAATCAAAGATCGTCGATGGTGTATAATAAAGTTTTAAGATCACCCAATTAAGGGGATAATTCAGTCGAATCCCATTGAATGGCGAGAGATGCAGTAATTCCTACAAATGGCAATTAAAATAAACTACTCATGATAAATTGCTCGCTCGAACTTGCAATGGCAAAGATAAATTATAGTAGCAAATATGTTGTAAGATCCGCCCCTTGAGAGCACAATAAGGGATGGTACAGTTGATCCAAGGGGGAGATATTATTAGGGGGAGGAAAATTCCTAACATTTCCTAACATTTCAAAGGAGTCGCAACGACACTTATCAATACAAATTGACAGCTTTGGGGGACAAATAGTTAAAAGCGACAGTTAAGGGAGTAATTAATCTATATTAATCCGAATCTGTCGTATTTTCCCCTGAAATTTGGTTAAGAAAAGGAAATTGCGTGGAATTTGTATCGATAAGTGTCGTGAATAGCATTTATAAGGGCCGAAATCTGCGATATTTTGCAAGATATTCTGTTGATTTTGATTTTATCCTCTGAAAATGACTGGAAACTAACTGATATTTGACTAAAATCTAACTAACTCACTTATAAATTGAGGTTTTCTAGCAATTTTTTATGATATTCTTCTTCAAATAACAGCTAGAGTTCTTGAAGAATGCCAATCAGAAACTTTCTATCTCAAAATTCCATATTATCTCCCCCTTGAGCTGCAGAGCAACTGTTGGATTTAATTCTTGCGTGGGTGGTGGAAAAAAATCGGGCAGATTCACATGATTCGCTCACAGCAGTCTCACAATCGCCCTCAATTAATTCTGTCACGGTCTTCCAGGGTGGGTTTTTGCCCATCTGGCCATCCTCATAATCACAGCCGAGGCATTGTCCACAAGTGGACCGGATGAGGTGGCGGCGTGATAAAAACAGTCAATGAAACGCCATTAGACAGGAGTGCATAGAGGTTGTAATTTGTGTCTGCGACGGGGTGAGATTCTGTCCGAGAGCGCCTTGTGGGCAGCGCACAAGGGATGAGCGAGCGCCACATATATCAGCACATGCACAAATCTATGCTGAGGGTAATCGAAAACCAATAAATATCCTTCGCCCCAAACCTCTCTCCATATTGAATCGTATAAATTTGTGTCAACACCGTTCTTTGTTGCGCCCCCCAACCTCCCCCCGAAACCGCACCCCGAACAAATTTCGGACAGAAACAGATACTCACATCACACCCCCGCCCTTTGACGCCGCCGCCACGCGCGCGGGGACGCCCAATCAGCATTCTGGCGCACACCGCAGACAAGCTGAAAGCTCTCGCCGAACGTAATACATCTTGAGCTTTTGAATATATTCACTCACAAGTTTTCATACTTTGCCAGCACGGACAGAGATTACCACGAGCTCCCCGTGCTGTGGACGTGCAACTTTTATTTATAGAGACAAAAGCAACGCCCTCAGGGGCTACTCATTGAGGGCACTTGAGTGCTCGCGCGTTATGCAATTCAAGGGAAGCGCGGATCCTTAATTACGCGAGACAATAACCTTCGTACATCGCTGGGGGAATTATGAAAATTGCAAATATAGGAAGAACAAGAGGAAAGCAGACATAAGGGGGTAAAGTTTACGCTATTTTCATCCAAAGATGAAGATGCTTTTATTTGCACAAAGAGAGAAAAGGATGTTAGACACAGAGATTTATCAGTTAATTAAGATTTTATATTAGAAAAGATTCAACCAAAGATGGAGAAGCTTTAAGGGCTTGTTTTTAACCTTAAAAATTGATGAAAAATTCACTCTGTGATGTGACAAGTTGAAAGTGAGATTAAGTGTGTGTTTTGTGCCTAATCAAATCCCTTCACTATATATAAAGCTAAAAGTTTTATCTCGGCTTTTCAATTACATCGCGCGTTACTCCTTTAATGTATCGATTCTTCTTCCCCAAAATGAAGTCGAATGGAGGCAATATAGCCGCAGAGAAACTCCCAAATGGCCCATAAATTGTGTATCGAGCAACCCCCTAAGATCCACTCGCTCGGGATATTGGCTGGGAAAAGTGGCTGGGCAAGGATTTGGCTTGGGGATTTGAGTGTGATGCAGAATGAAATTGAGGTGAGAAAAATCCGTGATTTATCGCCTATCCTTTGGTCATTACGCGTGCCAGAGGTGTTAATTACCCACACAGTGACATTTATGCCGTGTCCGGGCGTGATAAAATAGAATCATTAGCTATCAGTGTTTTGTGGGCCTCAATTGCCTGCCATATTGTCGCATTTTTGGTCAATTTCCGCCCACAATTTATCGCCCCAAAACATGAACTCTGTGTGTTGGATTTTGTACAAAGTCAAGTTTTATGTACCGCAACGAATTTCTAATTACATCCCACTTTATTTCTCCGCAAATCAATGAAAGTTTTGCCGATAAATTGGCCGCGCGCACGCAGAGTGGGAAAATTTGACGAAGACCGTGGAATTGATGGAGCGTGAGTGGGAGTTAATTTGAGTTTTCAAATTTCCAAGAGGGACATATTGTGCCTCACAAATGTAGAGTTCTGTGCGAAAGTCAGTGGAACTCTGAAATATTACAAGATACCCAAGAAAATTCCTCTTTGGGAAACTGTTTTCTTCACCAAATTACTGCCTTTTTATCAATTTATATGTTTTATTTAAATATAACCTCAAAATTTGTCAATTTTAAGATAAATAAGACAATTTTGTAGTCTAAAAGTAGCACATTTTAATTCACTACCGAATTCCTTCAGTTTTTCTCTAAAAACCTTACAACTAAGCTTGTTTTCAACATTTTTTTGAGTGTCTCAAAGTTATTTTTGAGGTTATGGTAAAAAAATGCCCAAAAAAGCCTTTTCACGATGCCAATCAAGAATTACGTCGTTTTAGAGCAAGAAAGCTCAGCTTAGAGCAAGTTAAGTTTGAAATAATTATGCAAAATTATCATTTGTCCAATTATCTCCCCCTTGGAAATTTCCCACGATCAAATGGGAGAATTTATCGCAGGCATATTACTTTGTCTCTCCTCATGATGGCATCAATCTCACGGCGCGGCACGATGAGAATCGTCGCAATTGACTTTAATTTGCACGTGAAAAATCTCCTCCGCGGGGCGAGAAGGGAAATTCCTCGTGAGCCACGTAGTTGCATAATTGGTGTTCTGGCTGGGAAGGAAAACTTTTCAATACGAACAAATGATATTACATTAATCATGCTCTAATAAATTAGGCATGGCCCCCGGAGCCATAAAGCATGCTCAAGTGCATGACAGACACAGTCGAGTTAACTGCTAATCTTCGGGCGTGAACAAATGAAGGCAAGTCAGATATCGGCTATTGGCCATCAGAATAAAATTAGCACAATTCTCTCTTACACGCCGCTCCGTTGCCCAATCCATTAGATAGATCTACGCCAGCAATTTATTATATCTCACCCCTGAAGTCACCTTTCTCGCTATCCGAGCACACCGCACCAAGGTGGGCGCATTTATCCTTCGCTTAGAAAGAAGGAACGTGCCAAAGGATTTAGATGAATATCATCAAGACCACTAAATGCGTTTGGGATTTCAGTGAAACAAGAAACAATGAAAAATACCCAGTAGAAAAGTAGCTCTAATGGGATTCCCACCGGACAGTCCGCTGTGTTCTGTAGGATTTCTGAGGGAAAGTCCATTGTCTTTTCTAACCTCTTAGGCACATACATGAGATCTCTTGAAGATCAATTCTTAATTGATTTTTACAGGATTTTCCCGCCGAAATCCTGACAGTAAATCTGTTGAAACTGTTTAATGGACCGAAAGGACACAAAACGGTGGATTTTCAATTGATTTTCGTGTCGAAATTCGTTGAAATTCTTTGCAGGATCAAAAGAACAGAAAATGACAATTTTTCAATTGATTTTCCTGTCGAAATCCTGCAAGAAAATCAATTGAAATTTTTTCAATGACGAAAAAGACATAAAACGACGGATTTCGAATGGATTTTTCAGCTGAAATTCTTTCAGACGCGTCTGGCGTTTGCCAGGTAGTTTGGAAAGAAGGATTTTGCTTCGAGCGTTCCTTAATGAATCCTGTAGAGGATCTGTTGTGCTCTAATATATATAAAATACTCTCTTGTTTTATTTGCAAAACTATCCGAAAAGTTTACTCAATGGATTGAAGTCCATAACATACTTGAGAGAAGACACACTGTGTTCCAATGCAAAAGCAATACATCAAAGTGTCAATTAGCATTGACACGCAGTGTACTGTCCTCTCGCTCAAAATGTCATCCCTTGGCATCCTTCCGGCGATGGCTTCTGGCAAACATCGTGGACTTTCGAGGGGTGGCGGCGTTTCATAAAATCCTCCACTGAGCATTTTTCTCATTAATTTTCCGCTTTTAATTAATTTTAAATACACAAAACATCCATAAGGTGGTGCGCTTTCCGCCCGAGCGCGATTTTTCTCGCGCGCCAAACGAGCCGTCGGAGATAAAAAATAATTCGCGATTAAAATTAAACCTTGTGTATCTCATTAATCACGATTTCGCATGGCGCGTTGAGAGTCATTTATAAAATTTTTCATCACATTGAATTTAATGTTTCTCCGGCTGTTTTTCCACCAAACTTGTTTTTTTCATGTCCGACCCCTGGACAGCAATGAGGGTGGTGGTGGAAAAAAGATGACAAGATTGGAATGAAAGTGGTGGAGAAAAAACTTACGACAAGTTGTGATATATTGTCTTAAGCATTCGCTGTAAGGAAATGTGTTTTCTTGTGCATTTGAATTTTCTCTCTCGCTCTAGCTCTCGACAGAGAGAAGAAGTTCGTTAGTGTGAAGCTCTCCTGCTTTGCGGAATGTTGTGTAAACATTTTTCCTCTCCCTCTCTCTCTCTCTCACACATCACACTGCGATGGCAGAAAGAGCTCCATCATGTGAGGGAATTTTCCTTATGCAGACGAAGGGAAATGCATCACAATGTGGCACAAATTACATACGGGATTCATGCAAAATTGGTCTGACTGCATTTGGAGGAAAATATCGCAATGGGTGAACGAACCCTTGAATTCTATGGGAAAAGCTCACACTGGAGATGGAAATGAAGGTGAGGCGAGAGAACCTCACTCCATTCAGTATTACAGATTGAGTGGTGAATAGGTCGGAAAAGGAGCCTAACGAGTGCCTTTGGACATCTTTCCATCATATAGTATAATTTGACTGCAATGATTTTGTACGATTTCCCTCATCATGAGAGCAGAATTTTAAGTACACCATCAGGAATACATATATATGTGGCAAACAGTGTGCGATTCAAGTGCTCAATCATGCGAAATTCACATTGATGCCGTGCAAAAGCTCACCTGCAATGGTCATATTGCCAGTTTGGCTGATTAATTTGAATTCCGGCGCATCGCCTGAGATTTCACAGCGATAGGAGCCGCTGGTGCGTGGCTCCAGCTGATCCAGGATCACACTGCAGGTGCTCTTGGTGCAGAGAATTGTCTGATCTTTAGGCAGTGTCACGCCGACCACGGGAAACGTCATAATTGGCGGGATCATCATTGGTGCATATCTGCAGGGCACATTTGGAAAAAAAAAAGTCAATAGAAAAGTGTGTTTGCATTTCTACGTTTTTCTCCCGCTCTTGGGCATTTGCTCAATTGAACACACAAAACACGTCCAGAGTTGGAAAACGATAATGTGCAATTTGGCACAGAGATAATTGCGAGAAATTTCATTGGGGCAAAAAGAGAGATAAAACTTCTTTTTTATGGCCAGCAATTTATCTCTGTTTGCTGAGGATATTCTTTTCATTAAATTTGGCAACTGCAATTGAATTGTTTGTCTGGCAAGTTTTATCCAAAAGAAGAAATAAAAAAAAGTCCGGGATTTCCTGTGAGCCTGAATGTAAGAAGTCTCAAGTGTGAACATTAATGCATGATAATTTGCTTCCTGGACTAAATTTTCTATTTCTGCCACAAAAGTACAAAACTAATAATTGCCTATTAACCACTCGAAGAAAGTTTGTCATTGATTTGCTCTCTGTCTATGAACAATCTGTGAGCTTGTGTGGAAATTTAAATTACCAACTCTTTATTGATCAATTGCATTTGTTCCCAACATTGAAAGATAGTTGCTGATGATAATGAAATAAATTTCCTCCAACTCGAGAGCTCTTGGCTTGAGGATTGTTAAGTGAAACGGATGCAAAAGTATAGGAATATTTCTTGATTCAATTCACTCGTCACAGTTTTCCACTATGCAAAGAGGATTTCATTTCCATTTTGAAGTGCTGAGATGCAAATGTACTGTGATATATTTCTAAATTGAACTTTCAGTTTTCTTCCCTTACATTCGCATCATCAGCTTTCAAACTTTGCATGTTCGTTTGCCTAGAAAAGCATTCCTTTGTATCCCAAATTAGGTTCCGACGACAAAATCCTCAGGGTTTATCTAGTTTGTTGCATTTTAATTATTCCGGAAGTTCCAGACGATACCGACCGACCTTCCCGGAACTCTTGTTCAAAATGGCGCTGCAGTCGATTTACAGTGGCAGAAATGAGAATAAATCGACTCAAAATACGTTCTTTTCTGCCTAATCGGTGAGTTTTTAACCGGAAAAACACTTTATAACTGTTCAAAAGCTACAATTATGAGAATTCTGTGAAAAATAGTCAATCAAAACAGTCGCAAGCTCACGAGATTGAACAAGAGCCGGCGGAGGGGTCAGCCGATACATTTTAGATGAGTTCAGCGCGTATCTATCATCTCGATTGACGTGCATTTGCCAACTCTGACGGGGTGGATGGCAAAAAGCCCACTCGTGTGCGCGGTTGAGTGTGTTTGCATGTTCACGAGACCGTGGAGTGCAATAATACTCAATTTTCTATAGTTTAATTCCCCATCGTTGCGCACAGATGGAAAAGTGTGTGTATTTAGGAGACTCACCGAAAGAATTCACTCCCATCCTTGTACCACTTGACAGAGTTGAGCTTGTGTGTTCCCATGTTGTACGTGCATGAAAGTGTTACCGTGTCTCTCACATCGGCCACCCTCGGCACGGAAATGTCTGTCATTTGAAGTGCCTCAATTTGACGGCATCCTGTCGGAATAATCAAATACAAGTCAGCTCAGGTGCACAAAGGCGATGCAAGGTGAGGGCAAAGATATGTTGGGTCGAGAGAGGGAAAAAAAGAGGAACTGAGGGTGTCAAAGCGAATGGATATGCGAAGAGGAAATGACTGAAATCCTATATTTACTCATATTTCCCGCCACTTTGTAGCTTTTCGCCTCTGGGGAGCTTTCTTTCTCCCAAAGACCGCTCGTGCTCCTCATTGTTTCAGTCACACCCTCCTCGCCACCCACCCACAATCTCCCACGTGCGATCTCGCATGCAATCCACACACACACACACACTCTGGCACAAATTGCAGGTAATGTTGCTTGAATAAAATATTTAGTTAGTCAAAGTGTTACGTTACACCTTCTCACGTTACAGACAAACACTCTCATGTTACCACAGGAGCTTTAATCATGCTGATGAAGAAGATTTATCATATTCAGGAAATGGTTTCATGTAAATTATGATTGATAGCGCACAACCAGAACATCCAAATGCCTTTTCCACTCTCACATCGACTGATTTTAATTACATTAATGCAGGAGAAATTGTACACAATTCCTCATTAATGCCTATATATTGAAACCACATTCAAGAATTGGCACAATAAACAGAATATTTCGTCGGTAATGATTTTCCCGAGTCACAATTAGATGTTATTTTATCCTTTGTGGATGTCAAGGGGGAGATAATGGAGTCAGAAGTGGTGTACAGCACAGCGGAAGTACTCAAAACCTTATAATATTCCTTTCCTGAGAGCTTCTTTCACTGACAAATTATCCCGATTCTTTGAATTCCTTTTGATTTTCCCATAGAAAAAAACCAAATTGATTCTTTTCTAGGTTATGTGTATGTTTAGCTCATTCATTAAATTCAGAATCTGCAATTTTGAGTTCATTTACAAAGCATAAGAGATGATTTTGTGATCTAGAAAGCTTCCACAGCGAAAAGCTAGAAGCATTCGAGGCCCTCCATATCCTCTTATCGTGGCATAGAAACGTGAATAATAAAGAAGATTGTTGTATAGATTTTAGGCAAACTATCTTCCCCTTGGCGGATGTCTAGTGAAAATGTGTGGTGAATGCGGTGAATGAAAGTCTCTGATTTCCGTACAGAATTCAATCTGACAACAAGATATACAACCACACATTGACAGTTTATATGCCATCTGTGGCATGGTTTGACTTAATTATACTTCTCGCAGCTCGACAACATGTATTTAATTTCAAATTACCCAACATATGTGACTCGGTGTTTGTGGAAAAGTGTGGCTTTCCACTCAGAGTGCTTTTGAAAACTCACGTAAGTTGAAAATACCATCAAAGGACAAGGAGATTTTCTCGGAAATGTATTCGCAATCAATATTGAAAGTGTGTGTTTGCCGGAATGATTTTAAATGGCGAATAATTTGCCGAGATTGTTTACTATTTGCACATCTTCCGCAGTGTATATGCGGGGGGTGAAATGTCGAAGCGACGACGAGGAGTGATTTGGTGGATGTTTAGTGTGCGAACGAGGGTGGACGAGAGCCAAGGGGAAATAATGAGATTCTGTGGGAATTGCTTTGGTTATATTCCGAGGCCAGAGTTAAATGCCCCATGTGGCAGGATCCACAATAAAGTGGAAGGCATTGTGCCATCGACCATACTTCATATATAAAAGCATCTCTCTCCTTATATTTACTCAATTTTCCCTCTTTCACTCTCCTACGTACACATTTTACTATTAAACGCACATAGTGCGGCGCTTTTTTTCCTTTCCTCTCCTTTTCCACCCTCCCCACAGATGCCAAGGGATGCGGAGAGAAAGTGCGAAGCAGTTCCTTCGCCCAATAAGAGTCCCTGTAATGGAGTTACGAGGACTCTTACACATTTACTCAAACGACTTAAGCAGACATAAAAGGTTTTCCCTCCACGTCCAAGACACAATGCATGAATCCACGCCACGCTCCCTCGTCCCTCATCGCTGACGGGGTGGGATTGGGGGGGGTTGGTTGAGTGGAAAGTGGAGGTATTTCCACATACGACGATCATACAAAAGATTGGGTGATGTTTTTAAAGCCACCATCAGCCACCTTGGCATTCCACAAGCATTTTATCCCAGAGCATACACTTTTCCCCACCCACACGGCCGCCCTTCGAGCCACAAGAGCACAAGATAGAAAACACAGTCATTCCAGAAAATTGAGCAGCATATATTTTACTCGTGTGTCTCCTTGAGAGAATACACAGTGCCGCACACACATACAAAAAATAAAGTGTCTCAAATAAACATTCAAGAAAATTCCCTTCGCCTTTTTTTCGTGTGCAGGGCGCGAGCACCCAAGGGGGAGATTAAAGTATGGGGGAGAGGGAGAGAGCATATCAAAAATGAGTGTGGAGCACAAACTTTCATGTTCATGGGCCAGTGTTCTGCTGGTACGCAAGAGAAATTGGGATTTTTTTTTCTTCATCCCAATGCTTGTTGAGCAACTGAAAAATGCTGAAGAGACACGTAATATAAATAGAAAGAGAAAGAGAAAGAAAAATGCTCATGAATAAGAGAGCAAGAGAAATCGTTAATTTGAGTTAAATTCATTTTGTTGATAGAAATTTAAGACTATCAGCATAACTCCACAAGGAGAGCTTTCTTGCCATTCACCATGGAATCTCTGGAAGATCATCCTCGCAAGCAAAAAGCTTTTTGAGTGGTATTTCTCAAACAATCACATCATAATCTTGTAAAGCTCCTTTATTCATATATAGTTTGAGCTGCGGCATTAGGGGTAGTTTATTGCGAATGAAGGGCAGCTTTTCTACTTAGCCCCGGATGAAATCCCTTAAAAAACTCCCGGGGTAGTTGAAAGGTAAGAATTACAGGTATTATGTGTACTTCGGTTGTTTCTTTATCGCTTCGCAAACCCTCGAGAAGTGAATAAATTCGCCCCCAGATAAGCGAATATTGGATGATGTTGGGCTAATAGTTAAACTCTCCGCACTGAGAGAAAATTGGGCTGAAATTAACACGATTTTGAGATCAAGCTGGGAATAAAATCAAGAATATTCGGCCTAAAATTATCTTTTTCTTTTGCTTAAGAATTAAGAGTTTTTAGCACAACTACAACTCTTTTTTACGTAGATTTTTTATTTGACTAGATTTAGGATCGATTTAAGTCCTTTTCAGTCTTCAAACCAGTCTTTTTCCGCTAGGAATTGAAGCATTGGGAAATTCCTTATGTTTATTCGCGACAAGGTTTTGAAAATATAAAGAAAATCCATTGGTTTTAATCCAAAGATTGCCGGAAAAACATCTTCTTTCATAGTTGATAAAAAGACTTGAAAATTATGTCGAGAAAGGTATTAATTGTATGAGAAAACAGGCTCAGAAAATTTATATTTATGACTTTCGAAGAGCATGAAATTACATCACAATAAGCCGAAAAGGACTTGAAAATAGTGTAGATTTCTAACTTCTAGGATGGATTATTTGTCTGAGTGCAGAAGAACGTGGTGAAAGAGCGCAACGAGAGTCTGGCGGGTGGTTTTTGCCCTCGCGCGCTTCTCTTGTCGGGCCAAAAAACACGTAATTATGTTCCGCCGAAGAGTCTTTCTGGGGAGCTTACCCAGTGGAGACGCCTGGTATCGCAGTGAATTGGCAAAAAAAAGTAGTGACGGAAAAAAATGGAAATTGGCAACAAACTTTAACAATGCTCTATATGTTTAGTATACGAATCTCGCCACACTCTTTCCCACCCCCTGTGCCGCAGTATTTGCGATGTTGGGCCCAACCCTCCGATTATGTGTGTAATGTCTTGAAGTTTTGCTTGAAGGATTTCTCCTACGTGAGCAGAAGAGTTCTTTTTTTTCCTGGCCTCCTCTTCTTATCCCTGTCATGAGACGCCGGGAATGGAAAACTTTTCACGCTCGGACAGAGCTTCAAAGGGACGTTGTGGGGGGCAGTTTCGTTTGCTGTGTGACTCGATTAGGAGGGCGAGAAAAAGAATAATATAACAATAATATTATTATGTGTGATAGACACATTTCAACTTTTTCATTTCCCCTTGTCTTTCAGCCCATGAGAGGGTACTAAATTGACGGAGTACACATATTTTTCTCTCCACCCCCACCCTATTTCGAAGGGCCAATGGGGGAGTGATGAGGAAACTCTGTATTATTTGTTCCGGGAAATAAATTGCCTCACCGGATTTCCTCGGACAACAATGTCTCTTTCTTCTCTCGCAAGACCAAAAGACCCCATCGAAATACGAAATTGCAAGAACTCTAGGCCACTGTTCGACTGCCAAGTGTTGGAGTGGAAAAGGAAAAGCTTTTGACAGAGAAGTTGACCCCTTGAAGCGATTCGCGCGGAGTGTATGACTTTTGATTGATGACGCTTTGTGACTCCACAGCAAATGGTGAAGCTTATTGAGCGATGGAACGCGTTTCTTGGAATTTTTAAAAGAAATCACTACAAGACATGCCGAATAAAGATCTTTACTTTAGTGAAATATAAATTAGATGTGGTAAATTTCTCTCTCCACCATGTATTTTATTCATCAACTTGAAAGCCGAAACACGCTCTAAGAATATGTCAAGTTTATCTTTGTTCTAAAATGTTTCCTGTGGAAATATGACGAGATGAGACTAAATTTGTGGTCTTGACTTAAATACTGTCAAAACTTTTTGGGTAATTTTAGACAAGTTCAACATATTCAGCAAGGCTCAAAAAATTTTTCATTTGAATTATAAAAATGCAATTGAATAAAAGTTTCCATTTGCGCAGTGTTTTCACGATGAAGAAAAATCAAACAGCAAAATTGAATAAATTTAATTCCATTGAAATGCTTCAGTGAAACGACAGGAAATCGACTTAAAACGATAAAATTCTCTTCTTTTCTTTTTTGCAAAACTTTAAGTGTGCCAAAAAATACGTCATGCGATTCACGCGGAAAGTTTCTGCACGGCGGGGAGGCGAAAAAAAGGGGATCTTTTGCACAATATCAT